AGCGATGGGGCTGTGCTGGGGGCAGTGGGGGGCTGGTAGCGATGGGGCTGTGCTGGGGGCATCGGGGGGCTGGTACCGAGGGGGCTGTGCTGGGGGCGCAGGAAAGGTTCCTACCACTGTGGCTATCTGGGGCCGTTTGGGGGTTGGCACCTATGGGGCTCTACGGGGATGCTCTGGGCCCCGGCCCCAATCAGCTGATGGGGGTTTTCCCTACCCCCCCAATCCCCGATGCCGTGGCATGCACAGCCCCCTGAGCGGGGTCAGGGTGCCCCTTGGGATGAGCATCCCGCTGGCTGAGGCATCACAGTGCTGCCCCGGTGGCTCCGTGCTGGGATGTCCACCCGTCGGGGACTGCAGTCCTGCCCACCTGGGCTGAGCCTGAAGAATCCCCCCTCCCCTGCAGGCATCGTGCCAGTTCCCTGCACCGTGGCTGCAGCGCGGGCTGCTCTCCAGTTAAAGGATCATCTAAATTTCCCCACGGGGTTTCGCCTTGGGCCATGCCAAGGCTGTCGGGCAGCTGGTTGGTGGCACCTGCGCTGTGCTTGGTGCAGAAGCCGGCCAGACGAGCTCCCTCCGTGGTGGGGCAGACGTGGCATTTCTTCCATTAGCCAAGCCTTCGGGGGAATTTATCATCCGCAGCGTGTGCGGACAGCCCTTTGCAGTATCCCCGCCGAAGCTGGGCTTCCAGATCTTAGTTTCAGAAGGGCATTTCATGCTGTTCATTAATTACATGTTGCTGTCACCCCTCTCCTTATTTAGGCAGTTTCAGTGCTCGGGATCCCAGATAGACAGCAGTTCTTCCTGGGTAACTTGGCCAGAGGAAGTTTGTCATAAACAGCCCAAAGCAAAGTGGATGAACGTGGGCATCGACGAGTCCTTCTATTTCTGGCTGTGCTATTACACTCTGAAAGCTTTTTCTCACATGCTTTCTTGGTCTCTGGCTTGCAGATGGTGGTAGGTACCAATCCCCTGGATCTGCTACTAATGAGTTGCTAAATTTTACCGCCTGCTCCCCAGGGACTTTGCAGGCCTATTGGA